GTTCCTAGGTTTATGACTGTTTTATGCTATCGTAGATAGTATATTTCAGTTTTCATGTTCATTAATATAGAATTGCAGTTTATCACTATTATTGAACTTCTATCCTATGATCTTTCAAAAGTCTTATTAGTCCAAAATTAGTTTTAAAATTTCATAGTATTTTTGTAAATACACATTATCCCTTTTTTCTTAATCTTTGTTTTTGAATTTTTTTTTCATTGCCTTATTATGCTGACTAGCACTTCTATTGCAATGTTGAATAGAAGGCAAGGATATCTTTGCCTTCTTTCCAATCCTAAGGGGCAGGAACTTAATATTAAACCATTTGTATATTAGCTGTTAAATTTTTATAAATGTCCATTGTCAAGTGGTGGAATTCTTTTCTGCTTCTGGTTTGGTGGGAGTTTTTATCATAAGTGTTCAATTTTGTCAACTTCTTGTTTCTGATTTTTCTTATGTTAAAGTGGTGAATTGTATTGCTGGGATAAACTCCATTTGGAGATATAATATATATATATATATATATATATATATATATATATATATATATATATATATATATATTGCTAAGCTCTATCTCCTATTTTATTTCTGCATCTGTATTCATGAGGGACATGAATCTTTCTATTCTCATATTTGTCAAGTTTTGTTACTGGTGTTGTGCTGGTCTCATAAAACAAGTTGAAAAGTTCTCTATTTCTTGAGTTTGTGTAGAACTTATTTCTAACTTAAACATTTGATCGATTTCACCTGTGAAGTAATCAGGGATTGAAGTTTCCTTTTTGGAAAGATCTGTGATTACAAATTCAGTACTTTAATAAATATGGAGCTATTTTTAGATTTCCCCTCTTCTTACATCACTTTTGAGAAGTTGTTTCAAAAGGCATTTGTTCATTTCATTTGAATTTTTTAGTTTCTTGGCATAAAGTTGTCCATAACATGCTCTTATTATCTTTAATGTCAACAGGCCATGTAGTGATATCCCCTTTTCATTCCTGGTATTAGTAATTTGTTTTCTTTTTATACTTCTTCAGAGTTTTGTTTTTAGTTAGGCTATCATGACAAATTACCATAATTGGGTGGTTTCAAAGAACAGGAAGTTGTTCCTACATTTCTAGAGGATAGAAATCCAAAATCAAGTCTCCCTCTATAGGGTGTGGGAGAGAATTCATCCTTGCCTCTTCCTAGTTTCTGGTTACTGGAACTCTTTGGCTTGAGGCTGTGTTACTCAAATCTCTGCTTCTATCTTTACTTGGCCGTCTTTTCCATTTCTGTGACTCTATGTGGCCTTTTTTTAAAAAGATTTTTATTGGGGAATTGGGGGATGGGAACAGCACTGGGGAATTGGGGGAAGGGGAACAGACAAGTTCCTGTCTTTTTGTTCTTCAGTCTAGTTGTGGAGGAGGTTGCTTCACTGGCCCAAGCTGGCACCATCATTGCGCTCTTCCCGAGTGAGGCAGATCAGTCATCGGCTTCTGGACGGCCGCTCACGGCGGCTTGAGGGCCGCTCACGCTGGCTGCTAACTACACACGGTAGCCCATGGCAACCCACTGCCATAGGGGCTGCAGCCTACGCCGTCGCCGGCGACTCATGGCAGCCCAGCTCCAGGTTGAGCTGTTGTTCAGCATCTTAGCTGTAGAGGGCAGCGTCACTCGCCCTCATATGTGGGATCCGAACCGGGGCCCTCTGGCGTCCCAAGCCAGTTCTTAACCATTGCGCCACTCGGCCGGCCCTATGTGGCCTTCTTATAAGGGCACCCATCACTGGATTTAGAGCTCATCCTAATCTAGTATAATCTCATCATAACTAATTACATTTGCAAATATCCTATTTCCAAATAAGGTCATATTCTGAAGTTCTGGATGAACATGACTTTTGGGGGGAATACTATTCAACCCCATATATTAGTCTTGCTAGGTGTTTATCGATTTTAATCATTTCCAAACACTCACTTTTGGTTTTGTTGATTTTCTGTATTAATTTACATCAATTTTGGAAAAGTTCTCAGTCAATATCTCTTCAAACATTTTTTTCTTTTTCTTTTTTTTTTAGCTGAGCCATCCTGCCACCTGTTGGCAGCTCAGCTCGGGCCAGGACTCAAACCGCTGTTGCTCAGAGCTCAAACTCTTGAGCGAGCTCTTAACCAACTGAGCCACTCGGCCGGCCCCTTAAACATTTCTTCTGTACCATTCTCTTTATCCTCTCCTTCTGAAACTAAATTACAAGATGTAAGGCCATTTTGCATTCCAATCTCATATACTCTATTCTTTTTATTTTCACTCCTTTTCTCTTCAATTTTATTTTTCTACTTTCAAATGCCGTCTTCAAGTTTATTGATCCTTTCTTGTATATGTAGTCTTACCATATTCAATTCTAGAATGTCTCTTGTGTTTTTCAAAGTTTACACGTTTCTGTTGAAGTCCCCGTCTTCTCATGCCTGTTTTATCACCCTTCCACTAGCTCCTTCAGCATTTTTATATAGTTATATAACTTGATAACTGCAACATTTGGGAAATTTCTGACTTTGCTTCTGTTGAGTGTTTCCTCTCCGGATCAAATTTTTCTGCTCCTTTGAATGTCTTATAATTTCTTACTGCATCCTGGATATTTTGTATAATAAAAGGTACAAAAATAAGTTACCTGCAGAAATGGGCATAATTGTTCCTTTGTCAGATTCCTAGAGTGTAAAGGCTAGGTTTTTCGGATATGTAGCTGAGGTGGAGATGAACTTGTTGCTGCTTTAGTTTGATTCACTTCATCAGTTGCTTCAAATATTTTTTTTTTTTAAGATTTTATTGGGGAATTGGGGAAGGGGAACAGACAAGTTGCTGTTCTTTGGTTCTTCAGTCTAGTTGTGGAAGACACCGCTTCACTGGCCCATGTTGGTATTATGATCGTTGTGCTCTTCCCGGCTGAGGCAGCCGGTCACTGGCCATTGGATGGCTGCTCGTGGTGGCTCACAGCAGCTCACGCAGGCTGCCGGCCACTCATGGTAGCTCACAGCAGCCCACTGCAGCCTATGCCATTGCTGGTGACTCATGGCAGTCCAGCTCCAGGTCGAGCTGTTGTTCACCATCTTAGCTGTAGAGGGCGCAGTGTCACAGGCCCATGGGGGATCCCAACTGGCAGCCCTGCTGCTCAGAGCTCACACTCGCAAGCCAATTCTTAACCAAAGAGCCACTCAGCCGTCCCTCAAATATTTTAAGTGAACAAAATTTTCTTTCCACACGGATTGGGATCTGAACATTGGTACAATTTTAGTGAAATCTTTGTGCTTTTCAGCTGAGCTGCCAGCTTCCCAAACACGGGGGAATTTCTCTCTGAACTACATTCCAATTGCATATTTTAGAATTTGAGGCATTCTTTGTATTCTACTCAGGCTTTCTAAGTAGGTGAATTCTCAGGTGAACGCCTTCTTTCAATTACCATGTCTTTTGGAGGACAGAGTTGCTTACACTATTAAGACTCAATGTCTCAGAGAGATTCTTCCTTTGTTTTAGGTCTGTTCTATATTTTAATCTTAATGAATGAGTACATTCTTTCTAAAACCAGCACTCTAGCTGGTTAAAAAGAGGCAAGATGTACATCATGGATTTATAAGGACACTAATAAGCCAATATTTACTGAAATTAAATTTCAGTGAGTCTGTACCGAACACTGCACAAGAGGTAAGAAAAGTTGTCTTTCTCTTTAATAAATCCATCAAGCATTTACAAATTATGACACTATCCTAGAAATATGCAATAACCTTAGTAACTGGGATGGACAAAAACAGAGCTCCTAAACTATATTAGATCTCTGGTTTGATTTTCTAAAATCTGGTTAAAAGTGGACTAGTGCAGGGTCCTTCTACCATGTGATTCTGCCATCTTTTTTTTTTTTTTTAAGATTCTTATTGGGGAATTGGGGGATGGGAACAGCGCTGGGGAATTGGGGGAAGGGGAACAGACAAGTTGCTGTCTTTTTGTTCTTCAATGTCCTCTTTGTGGAGGACATTGCTTCACTGGCCCAAGTTGGCACCATCATTGCACTCTTTCCGGGCAAGGCAGATCAGTCGCCGGCTTCTGGACGGCCGCTCACCGCGGCTTGAGGGCCGCTCATGCTGGCTGCTGGCTACACACGGTAGCCCATGGCAATGCACTGCAGTAGGGGCTGCAGCCTACACCAACCCAACGACTCGCGGCAACCCAGCTCCAGGTTGAGCTGTTGTTCAGCATCTTAGCTGTAGAGGGCAGTGTCACTGGCCCTCATGTATGGGATCCGAACTGGGGCCTCTGGCGTCCCAAACCAGTTCTTAACCAACGCGCCACTCGGCCGGCCCCTGCCATCTCTTAAAATCTTGTTTTTATCCAATCAATATTTAATTGGTATAAGGAGGGAAAATTAAGAAAGGGCATTCCTGTATTTCAAAACCTTAATATTAAAATAAACACATCCATTTCATAAAATAAACATAAAATAAACACTTATATTTTACTGGCTAAAATTCAATCTCATGTCTATAGTGAGTCTGAGAAATATAGTCTTGCTGTGTATCCAGGACAAAAGGGAAATAGATTTTCACTATTGGTTCATAGTATCTGCTAGTTTTATCAGCTTAAAACCTCTTATTCTTTTTTTTTTAAGATTTTATTGGGGAGTTGGGGGAGGGAACAGCATTGGGGAATCGGAGAAGGGGAACAAACAAGTTGTCCTTTGGTTCTTCAGTCTAGTTGTGGAGGACGTCGCTTCACTGGCCCATGATAGTATTGTGATCATTACGCTCTTGCCGGCTGAGGCAGATTGGTCGACGACCATTGGACGGCCGCTCACGGAGGCTCACGTCCGCTCATGCTGGCTGCTGGCCACTGGCCACTCACAGTAGCTTACGGGAGCCCACTGCAGCCCTGCTGCAGCCTATGCCGTCGCTGTTGCCTCACAGCAGCCCAGCTCCAGGTCGAGCTGTTGTTCAGCATCTTAGCTGTAGAGGGCGCAGTGTCACTGGCCCATGTGGGAAACGAACCAGCAGCCCTGCTGCTCAGAGCTCACGCTCCCAAGCCAACTCTTAACCAATGAGCCACTTGGCCAGCCCCCAAAACCTCTTATTCTTAAAACTAACCATTCAACACAAAAATGTTAATTGAATTAAAGAGAAATGCCTTACTGTTCATCGAATCTACTGTACCTGGCAGTGAAGGCAAACCATATTTTGAGGGTATGGTTGTCTGCCATTACTTCAACCTTAAGGTGAGAGTTAAACACACATTCAAAATTTCTATTTATCATTCCTCTTTGAACTTACTAATATTTTCAGCCGATGTTATTTCTAAGGGTAAAAGTTAAATAATGGAATTAAAATACTGTTTGTCTTAAAATAATTTCTTTAATGTGTTAGTGCATTATCTCTAAGCCTAATATTCTAGTATGGATATAAAAGTCCATCTTCTTCTCTCTGTCATCTTCCCCCACACACAATTTGTAATTTTATGAACTTATTGTATCAATTTTCCCCTCACCATACTCTGGCCCTTCATACCTTGTATTACAATTTCCTTGATAACATAGCAATCAGGACTGGATGCTGTTTCCCAGGAGTGGCTGCACCATGATTTTCAGAGGCATAATAAAAAATTTGTTATAGTTTGTATATGAGTACATATTTTTTTGTAGTAATGCCAGGTTTCAATCAATGTTTACTGAAATGTCTCCCAGGTTCGCTGCTGCTTGATGTAGGTAAACAGTATTTCATTCCATTTTCTGTCTTATTAGTCCAGAAGTCTTCAGAAATTAAGAGTCCTATTCTAGCAACTGATTCGTAACCAAGCTCTCTTCCGCCATTTTCCCTTAAATCACTCCTTCTTTATACTTGTTCTTTCCATGTTTTATTCTGGACATAGAACCATTTCTTCAAAAAAGATAAACCTTGTTCACCTTCAAAGATTCTTCTGCAAATGTTCACCTTCTAGGTGAGCATTTTCTTCTTTTGAATTTTATCTGGGATCTGCAAACCATTCTTTATCTGCACAGACAGGGGTGCAAGCAGAAGCTATCCAATCACTTGCATGATAGAGAGAAAACTGTTTTGGTGGATATATGTATCACAGTTATTTTGTACCTAGTTTTTTCAGATTGTTGATTTTGTCCTTTAGAATTTGGGTTCTACAAAGAACGTCCCGTTAAAAAGGCTCAATATTTGCCTGTTCAAGACTACTTTTACCAATTATTTGCTATTAAGAAAAATCTAAAAAGCTCTTGACTGCAGGTTAGGGTGACTTTTATATTAATTATATCTACTATTATTCACAAACTTCTCAGCCTTGTGTATGAACACTAACCTTGGTTTTATGTAAAACATGATTGGAGTAAATTTAATCATATGTGATTAAAATCTCATACCAGAGATCATGAAATTATTGCAAGCATGTGACACACCAGTTAGCATATCTCACCTGGTGGCAGGAATCAAATTAATACCTGCAGAATCTCTTGTGTGAGGCTTAAGCAATGACAGTGCTCACATGAGTTCAGGTCTGCTTCCTTTTAAAGGTGGATTCCAGAAGAAAAAAATTTATAAAGACTATAAGTAATGTATTAATATGGTAAAACTATTACTTCAAAACCCTGGTCTAAAGGAGCTGCTGAGCAATGCTGATTATTTGATGCCCTGAAAAATGTCTCTCATAAAAGTGCTCCAAGCAAAACATGCTTCACAAAGGTTTTTTTCCCTTTAAAAACATAAAGAAGGTGTAGCTCAAAGTGGCCCAGGTGGGGATTGAGCTGGCAACCTTGCCGTTCAGAGCACAAGCTCTAACTGAGCCACCACGCTGCCTACAAAGATTTCTAAAATGAAAAAGGTTGGGTTTGGCAGACTGCTTGGTGCACTTCTGGTGCTTCTCTTAAAGTAGAAAAAAATCTACGATGTTGTAGTCCTTTGGTTTTATTTTCTGGGATAAAAAAGTATAGGCATAAATGTTTTTATATGGCCTTCTTGAAGATAACCTTTAAAACAACTTATCAAATGGCTTAATTTATGTCTCTTGATTATCAGTTTCCATCGATGTCACTGAGCCTTGATTAACTGGTTGAAAATTTCAGGGCAGAAGAAGTAACTTTTATGAATATTTTCCCAATCCCTGAGAATTCTAATCAGCACATAAATATTTTATCCTTTCATCAAAAATCTCTGGAAAGTAGCCGTGTCCGTTCATTGCTAATAGGGCAGGGAGCAGTGTCATAGAGTGTTAATCCATGTAAATTGGCTTCCACCCGTAAAGAAATTTTCTGGAACAGAAAAGAAAATTATATATACAAGTTTGCTTCTTAAAGAAAGATTACATCTTCAATTCTTCAATATGTTCTGAGGAATATTGTTTTGGATTAGGAATGTAAATCAATTCTAATAAGAGTGAGCCAGCTGCTGTATGGCCAAAGGTATCATCTGTAGTACCAACAGAGCTGGGAAAACCGGCTTCTGTACTTAGAAGTTCCTTGTTTTTCTTTCTATGAAGAATCAGTAAAACTAAATGTTGAGGATGGCCTACGTACATGTAGGCAGAGTTAATGAAAATTCTGTGAAAGCATTTCTAAATATTTGATTGTTTTACAACCCTATTTTTAAGGCTGAATCTTGCTAGCAAGACACTACTTCTGCAAACACGGAAACAATTCATCTGAGAAGTTTCTCTGCTGATATCACTGCTTATGATGTGAATTTTTGAAAAGCCTGGAGACTTGCCTATAGCAAATTCTCGTATTCCACCTGAAGGAAGTCTGACTGCATAAATCTTTGTTTTCTTACCTGAAAATCACGGATATAAGTCAGGAAAAAACCAAAGAAGGAAAATGACATAGACCATTCTGCTGCAGTAGTGATCATGTGAAGCACATAACCCTTGAATGACAATGGAAAAAAAGAATAGTGCTATGAAATTTCATTCAAATGATCTGTAATTTCTCTCAAATAAAAAAACCCGTAATATTTATAAACCAATCTGCCTCCTGAAAACAAACCCTTGATTTATTGCACCTATCTCCAGAACTATAGGTAGACATTAGGAAAGTCCTCCTAAATGATCTACCATGTCCCCCAAAATAAGACCAGGTCTTATATTAATTTTTGCTCCAACAATCTACATTTATTCATTTATTCATGTACAAAAATCTACATCTATTCCAACAGTCATGTCTGACTGATGATCTTAACTGGGGCTTATGTTTAGGGTAGGGCTTATATTACGAGCATCCTGAAAAATCATGCTAGGACTTATTTTCCAGTTTTTCATTTTTGGGGAAACATGGTAGTTATTGTGGTTTTATCAAGAGCAAATAAAAGCTCCATTTGAACAGTGAAGACAGGGGATCTTCTAGTCTACAATCAAGAAGTCACTGCCTTTCCCAAAGCCATAAGATTCATTAAATGCCAGTGAAACAAGTTTAAATAAACAAAGTTCACAATAAACTTAGTGCGACTTTTAGAGCATTAAATAATATCTGGATTATAATTTAGAGACTCTAGTAAATTATTTCACTCATTCATTCTCACAAACATGTCCTATCTAGGGCCAATTTCTTTAAAAATAGTTTAAAATAAAACGCCACCAGCAGTTTGTGAAACCAGATGAACTCATTTAATTTTCTATTTAGTATATGTCCTTTGTCTTTTTTCCTCAGCATCAAAGATGCTATCTCTATTCGGATATGCACTATATTGGAACCCAAATGCAGAGTCCACAATAATAAACTTCCAGATAACAAAAAGTGGGAGACTTTTTTCAATTCAGAAAACAAATATTCTAACAATGAAAGTTCTCAGCTGGGTATATTGTATACTATATCCACATTTAGAGGAATCAATTTCTGAGAAAACTCTTTACCATCACAATTCTCTTCATGTCTTGAAAATGGATGGAGACAACAGCTGACAGGAGAATATGGATGGTTCTATATAAACTCTTTCATATATAGAAAATAATGCTAATTCATAACTGATTAGTCTACTAAAAAAAGTTTCATTGTTAGTGATGAAAAATACATCAAAATCAACCAAAATTGTCATCTTTACTATAAAACTAAGTTTTATAGACTCCAAGTTCTTACTTTGTCCTTGGGATTCCAGTGGAGTTTCTGTACCACATCAGTGCCGAAACTGCCACTGTACAAAAGTGATGAGCAAGTCAGCACTATAAAAAGAAAAAGTTAGTCAAGGAAAAATCTCAGAGAAGACCTGTAAGTTTAAATTAGATTCAAAAACCACTTTAAAGGTCCAAAAGAATTACTCATGTGTACATTTGTTTTCAAGGTCCAAAACCATTTTCTTACAGACTTCATGGTACATGGCAGTAGGAACATTTTAAATGTGCCCAGAGGATTACTATGAAATGGTTCACACAGTCAACCCCCCTTAGCTCAGTAATTAAGCAGTTCTCACAAGCTTCAGCTACACAATTGTTCTCAGAAAAGGGCACTGACTCATCCTTCATATCTCTGAAGTGACTATGATGAGGCTAAACATTATTTTTGTTCCCAGCTCAGTTACTGAGGTCTTTTGTAAAATCTGAATTTCAGGTTTCAAATCCTTTAATTTGAGGTTACTAACCTAAGATCCGCACTGTCCACAAGAGGACTGCTTACAATATGCCAAGAGTGTTCACTTAAATGTTATTATCCAATTCCCTTCCAAGTGTAGCCACATTTTACAGCAAAGGATACTGCTAAATGCACTTACTCCACACCAGATGACTGCCAGCAGTCTGATCCAGAAGACTTGTTTGCCATGAATTTTGGGCTGCATTTGGTAGGAGAGGATGGTCTGCACAAACATGTATAAGGAGCCCATACCAAAGGTGAGCACTGCTCCACATACGTGTACAATGAAAAAGGTGGTTTTCTGAGAGGTAGAAAGAAGAAATAAGAAAATAAAAGACACTCGAAACACACTGCCAACACAATATTTAAAAGCACAAGCCAGAGATTTCAATAGGACATTCACTGAGTTTGGAAGCTCTGCGGATTCTACAGATTACTTCCTGAAGGAATTTTCTCTCACAGCACTCGGCATAAACCTGAGAATTACAGTAATACAAATTATTTCATATGCCACGACTGAAAATATGATAGTAATTATTGATTTACTCATTTATTGTTTATTTGGGTGCCTTTTATATGTTAAGCACTGTTCTAAGTACTCAGACATATTAGTGAACAAAACAGACAAAAATCTGGCCCTCAGAGTGTACATTCAAGTGAAGGAGCACAAACAATACTAAACTTCAGAAATAAATAAATTCCATTGTATGTTAGATGGTGGTAAGGGTTACAGAAAAAGAGCAGCGCAAACTATGAGGATTGGGATGGTTGGGAATGCGGGAGTAGGGAATTTCAATTTAATTTAACTCTAAATGCAATTAAAAGGCTCAAGAAATTAAAACATCCCCCTTGGCTTTAGTTTTATTGGTTTTGATAAATTACACAAGGGATTATCATAAATTGTAATTTTTTCTCCTTTACCTTACTTTCTTTCTTTCTTTCTTTCTTTCTTTTTTTTAAGGTTTTTATTGGGGAATTGCGGGGATGGGAACAGCGCTGGAGAATTAGGGGAAGGGGAACAGACAAGTTGCTGTCGTTTTGGTCTTCAGTCTAGTTGTGGAGGATGTTGCTTCACTGGCCCAAGTTGGCACCATCATTGCGCTCTTCCTGGCCGAGGCAGATCAGTCGCCAGCTTCTGGAAGGCCGCTCACTGCGATTGCTGGCCGCTCACGCTGGCTGCTGGCTACACATGGTAGCCCATGGCAACCCACTGCCACAGGGGCTGCAGCCTACACCGTCGCCAGCGACTCACAGCAGCCCAGCTCCAGGTCGAGCTGTTGTTCAGCATCTTAGCTGTGGAGGGCAGTGTCACTGGCCCTCATATGTGGGATCCGAACCGGGGCCCTCTGGCGTCCCAAGCCAGCTCTTAACCATTGCGCCACTCAGCCAGCCCTACCTTACTTTCTTATCAGTATCCACTTACATTTCATTTTTTACTATTAATATTTATACCATTTCCTTAAAAAGTGATGACAGCAGCTCTCGAAAAATTCTATAAAGTTTTCCGGTTGAACTACTCTGTCTTTCTAAGCTGATGCTGTCTGTATTTCATTGGGCCGAGATGGTAGAGTGCAGCACCTGGCACAGAGGGTCTGACCAAAGTAACAAGAGAAGAGCGGTTAGGGCCTGGTTCCCTCATTTTACAATCAACTGTGCTAAGTCACAAACACAGAGCCAATTTTCTTAGGTGAAGGTTAGGAAGTTTCTAGTATAAAGAAGTAAAATATAACAATTTATTTGCCAAAGGCATTGGTTTCCTTTTGGAGAGAGAATAGGGCTACTTTGATATGAATAGGGGTGTTAAAATTGGTACTAAGTTAGGAGCACTGGGAAGTAAAATTAAAAAAAAAAAAAATCACTGGGGCCGACCGAGTGGCTCAGTTGGTTAAGAGTGTGAGCTCTGAACAACAGGGTCACTGGTTCGATTCCCACATGGCCAGTGAGCTGCACCCGAGCTGAGCTGCTGCTGAACTGCAAACAGGTGGCAGGATGGCTCAGCTGGTGAGAGCACATGTTCCTAACAACAAGGTTGCCGGTTCTACTCCTGCATGGGATGGTGGGCAAGGCCCAATAGCAACTAAGATTGAACAGGGCACCTTAGGCTGAGCTGCCCTGAGCTGCTGACGGGCGGCCAGATGGCTCTGGTTAGAGTGTGCGTTCCTAGCAACAAGGTTTCCGGTTCGACTCCCGCATGGGATGGTGGGCTATGCCCACCTGCAACTAAGATTGAACACGCCACCTTGAGCTGACTGGCCGTGAGCTGCGGCTGGGCAGCTGGATGGTGACTGGACTTGGAGCTGAGCTAGCTGTGCCCTCCACAACTAAGATTGAAGGACAACAACTTGGCTGTTCCCCTTCCCCAATAAAATCTTAAAAAAAACCCAAAACAATCACTGTTATTGCTGCTGTGTAACAAAGGGGAAAAAAAATTCAGCACCAATAAAACATTAATATAAAATGGTATTATCTTTTTGGTTTATAATTTATCTATACATATGGGTAAAGGCGGGAAAATATAGGCAAAAATGAAATAAATTATTTTACGGCTAAGAGCAGAAATATGGGTAAATTTTCCCCCTTAAAAATATATTGATGAAGCTAAATACAGATATAGCCTGATCAATATCCACTTGTGAGCAGTACACAGTTCTATTAACACAATCCTATAGATTAAAAAGTAAAAATAAAGGGCCGGCCGAGTGGCGCGATGGTTAAGAACTCGCTTGGGATGCCAGAGGGCCCCGGTTCGGATCCCACATATGAGGGCCAGTGACACTGCCCTCCACAGCTAAGATGCTGAACAACAGCTCAACCTGGAGCTGGGCTGCCATGAGTCGCCGGCGACGGCGTGGGCTGCAGTCCCTGTGGCAGTGGATTGCCATGGGCTACCGTGTGTGGCCAGCAGCCAGCGTGAGCGGCCAGCAGCCGCAGTGAGCGGCCGTCCAGAAGCCGGCGACTGATCTGCCTCGCCAGGGAAGAGCGCATGATGATGCCAACTTGGGCCAGTGAAGCAACGTCCTCCACAACTAGACTGAAGAACAAAACGACAGCAACTTGTCTGTTCCCCTTTCCCCAATTCCCCAGCACTGTTACCATACCCCCAATTTCCCAATAAAAATCTTTAAAAAAAAAAAAAAGTAAAAATAAAGAATGAAGAGCATTTACTATTATGTTTCTCTAATTAAAATAGAGGTATTAAAAAACTGGTTTTAACTGGCAGTATCTCTGCATAATACGAGGTATGATCAAACAATATGGTGAATGTTTAAACAACAAAAAATTATTACAGTAAGACACATTGCCATTAATCCCCCTCAAAATACTCCCCCTCGCTTCGAACACACTTATCCCTTCATTCTTGCCACTTTCTGAAGCAGTTCTGGAAGTCCTCTTTCGTGAGTGTCTTTAGGTGCACTGTCAGGGCTGCCTCAATGTCCCGAATAACTTGGACTTTGGGGAGGAATCAGAAGTCACACGGTGCCAGATCTGGTGAATCAGGTGGAGGAGGACATATCATAATGATTTTATTGGACAGAAATCGCCATATGCTAGAAGCAAAGTGTGACACAGAGCATTGTCATGATGGAGGATGATTTATGACACACTTTAAAACAGACTTTCTCTCAACTGTAGCTCACACCCTACTGACTACACTGAACAAGTTGAAACTTGTCACACACTGTTACTAAGTAAGGTTCAATGAGAAGCTTCCTGTATTGAAGATCCTGCCTTTCTGTTGGATGGCGCTCGGGAGCAGCGTTCACAGTATTTTGTGATCACAGTGGAAAAGCTCCCTGTCACACATCGCTTCTGGTATACAAGTCCTGCCATATAAAAACATTACGGTGTGTCCTCACCCACCTTATTCACCGGATCTGGCACCATGCGACTTCTGGCTCTTCCACAAAGTCAAAATGATCATGAAAGGTGAACATTTTGAAACGATTCAGAATATTAAGGCAGCCATGACGGCACAACTTAAGACACTCATGAAAGAGGACTTCCAGAACTGCTTCAGAAAGTGGCAAGAATGAAGGGATAAGTGTGTTCAAACGACGGGGAGTATTTTGAGGAGGATTAATGGCAATGTGTCTTTTATTGTAATAAAATTTTTTATTAAACATTCAGCATATTATTTGATCACATCTCGTACATTTAATTTTGTTATTTTAGAGACTAGGGAAACAGCAAAAGATGTTGAAATGGGCAAGAGGTTATCCTTTCAATAGAATGCTAGAACCTCTGGGACTGGTTCTACAGGAATGTGAGTTTTATTTGGCTTTGATTAGGCTATTTTGCAAACAAAGCTTCTGTAATGATAAAAATTATGGGCAGAGACATAACTTACAGAAAACTGACAGTAATGTAAATAATTCATATCCATAGTAATGCAAACTATGTCCTGCTGAATGCAACTAATTATCACTTGCGAATAATGATCAGTGTTGTATCTATTTGTAAATTCATTTTAGCATTCCTTATCTAACTATAAATATGTGGTACTTTGACTTCTCTTTTGAACTGGTTTGTAATATGTACTATTTCTCTCATTAATTAATAAGTTAAATAAAATATTGGAAACATACAAAGGCCATGATTTTATCCTTTTTAAAAATATATTTTTTACTAAAACAAAGACAAAAACTTATTCTTGACAAAGACAAACAAGAGAAATTAGAAATATGTGTGGTCAGGGGCAAATGTTTTATATAGAACTTACAAATTACATATTGAGTGGTCTCTAATCTTTACCTAAAAGCAGTTAATAAAATTTAGGAACTAATCTTCTGCGTACTTATCCCTATCCCTTCCAAAGACTCCGTGAAGATAAATTTTCTAGTGAGGGAGCAACGCCATGTGACAGCAAAGGCATACATTACAGAGTTATGCTGCCACAAACTAAGGAATGCCAAGGATTACTAGCTACCACGAGAAGCTAGGAGACAGGCAGGAACAGATTCTCCCTCTGAACCCTCCGAAAGAACCATCCCTACCCACACCTTGATTTCAGAATTCTGGCCTCCTGAACTTTGACAGAATAAATTTCTGTTATTTTAAGCCACCTGGGTTGTGGTGTTTTGTTATGGTAGTCCTAGGAAATCAATATAGATTTCAGCCTACTTATCCTTTCCAAGTTTCCTTGAGGATAAATTTCTTAGGAAGAGAAAAATTCCTCTAACTAGGCACTGAGTACACTTACCATGTATTTGTTTTCCTGAATATTATGACACATACTTGTTTTCAAAGAAATTTTGTATTTTTTAAGTCAGATTGTTTTCAAATGCCATATTAGAATTAGTAGGTCTCTTTAAATGCAGACAACCGCTGTAATAACAAGAGAATTTTTTATTCATCCAGCTTAGTCCCTTTGGCCTCTGTCAATAAGTTACCAAATATTTAATGAGAGCATGTGTGTGCTAAATACTATGTTAGATGTTGAATATATTGTAGAACAGTGAACAAAACTATTGTGTTTAATATTAATGAAGAAATATACAACTAAATTTTTTTTTTTAATTTAAAAAGTGTGGATATAAAATTAGACTATAAAAGGTGCTATGAAGAATTTGTCTCCAGAGGCTTGGAGAAGACAAAGAAAGAAAACTTGAAATACATAGGAGCAAGTTGATCCACAGAAAAGGCTCCCCGGAGGAAGTACTGCACTGAGATCTAGAAGGTGTCTAGGCTGGGGGCTGTGGAATGTCCAACAGAAGAAACAACATATGGAGTTAAGTGAACTTGTCTTATTCAAGGAACAAAGAAAGGCCACTGTCGTGGACAATGGAGACATCAGGAAGGGTAATGATGCAGAGTGAGGCTGGAGAGGGAGACAGCAGCCAGATCACAGAAGACCTTTGATTTAATTAAGCAGTTTGGCAGTTACCGAATTCCTTTTTCTCTCTTGATTATATGTCTTTTCATGCAAATTTGAAGCTACAGAGCTTTCAGCAGGGGGACAGGGAAACAGAGGGAGATGGATACATATTTCCAAAAGATTCTTTTGGCTGTTATATTAAATTAAAGGGATATAAGAGTGAATGCTGAGAAATGATTAAGGAGACTATGGCAGGAGTCCAGAGGAGAGATGGTGAAATCTAAACTAGTTGAGAAGGAGATGGTAGGGATAAAAGTGGAGACAGCAGTAAAGAGAGGCAGTTGCTTTTAAGAGACATTTAAGAAATGCATCAACAAGTCCTTACTTTAAAACACAGTGCTCCCCTCTCTTCTAAGCTCTGTAACTGTAAACCTGCTTAACTATTAATATTATAACTCAAAGGTCTCGTATGATCGGGCTGCTGTCTCCCTCTCCAGCTTCATTCTGCATCGTTTCCCTTCCTCGTGTCTCCACTGTCCATAACACTGGATGTATATATGAAAGAAATTTCTATCGTGTTAAGACACTGAAATTTTGGGCTTTGTTACAGCAGCAAGCACTACCCTAACATCCCCTTGGATTATAACACTAGAGATTACTAGTATTAACCATGCTTAAACAACTGAAAAGGAGAGAGCAATCAGGAGCATTATAGGAATGGAGAACTGCGAATGAGAGGGAGACAGAATATGCTTCTATAGGTTATCAAATGTCTAAATGGAAACTTTAAAAGACTGCAGAGCAATTAATCAAAAACCACCACAGGCCCAGGACGCAACCAGTATTGCCAAAGATTTATCTGAAAGAACATCAGTGGAAAGGAATGTGGAGAGTTTGCAAATATTTGAAGGTTTACTGTTATTTTAACATTAAGAACTCCCCGAGAAAAAGCCAGAAGAGCCTCAGATCGTCCCATTCCTTCCCTAATACAAGAGCTGGGCACCTAGGAACGCAGGCAGTCAAGCAGAACATCTAAACAAGACTGTAAAATAGGGAATGAGTATAAATTGTCAGGCACATATTTTTAACAGTTCAAATCTGTAATTGTGTCACTTATAATTTATATCAATTCTCTCTGGTCTTAGAGTAATCTCCGACTAAGTAGTAATAAATAGTCTAATAAATTGAATCCTGTGGATCCTTAAAAAGTCAGAATAATTTATGTTTGTATAAGAGATTATTGAGAATGAAGTTTTCTAATTGTGAATATAGCTAAAAGGGTCAAGTAATATCAAAGCAGTGGATCCTACTTTGTTAAGGAAACAAAGTATGTACAATAACTGAATGTTTCAGGTTTCCTTTGTAACACATATATTTATGTAGTTCAGGAAAACATCTGGGTTAAAACACAAACCTGGAAGTTTGCCACAAGAGAAAGTCCTAAACAACTCAGCAATCCAAGTACAAGGCCAGCCTTGTTTAATCTGATGATACAATTCCCTTCAGGATTCAGAGCATGAACTTGCTTATAACGAACATAAATGGTAGCAACGCCTGGGAAGAGATAATCCAAGAAACAAGCAATAAATAACCAAGGAATACAGTTGCCAATAAAGAGTTTACAAAGGTCTCTACTATCCAGAAACATAGATTTTTCCTTTTAGAATTAATCTGAGAGAAGAAAAAAGCTAAAAAACACAAAAAGCTGTAGATTTTAAAGGAATTTTAAGGTTGCACTATAGAACTACTGCGATCTCTGTGTATCTGAGCAAGTCATTTGCCTCCCATGGGCCTCTATTTACCAATATTTAGGATAAAATTTAAGAGATAAGCTTGATATTTCAAAACATCAATCTTTCTGAAATCTCTAATGGTAAGTGTTATATAAAATACAAAATGTTCTATATGATTAACATTAAAGTTTCAAGTAATTCGTTCTAGAATACGGATAAAACGCGCATACGCAAATAAACACCAAGACTTCTTGTCTCAAAAAAAAAAGGTTACTCGCCTCACTCTTTCATTTTATTTCCAATTACTACAACATGGCTCAATCAGATAACAATTACACAGAAAAAAAAAATTTTACCACCCTCATTAGTGAAAAAAGGGCCAAATCAAACTTTCCATTGTAAAAATAATACCAAAGAACTGAGAAGTGTAGAAAACGTAGCAGATATGCTTTTGTAGACAAGTTTTTGAAATATTTAGTCGTAAGATGAACTTCTATATATTGAATCATTTACTTGACTTTAATTTTTGACTTCATATGGAAGAATGCACATATTTAAAACAATCATAACTGGTGGAAAAAACAATATTTTTAGTAAACCATTACTAAAAATTGGGTTCAAAACATAATTAACAGGAATGTAAAATACTGTAGTAGAACCCCATTCCTTTGGCATTAGAATATTGCTCAAAAATCAAAAAATGGCTCCATCGTTATTCTCAAACCTCTCAATTATTTATCCTAAAGGAATTTAGTTGGGGTTAGTTGTGGTCAGCGTGTTTACAGCTCTTTGTTCTCTAATTGTTGCTTAAGAAATCTACTTAAGGCCTCAAGGGGTCTTTGGTTATATTTCACAACTTGTATTTGAATGAGTAGTCAGTCAAATGGACCTATACATTTTTTAAGATTTATTTCCATAATTTAGTATTTCTAGAAATTGCCTTTTAAGAGGAATATATCTGTGGTCAATAATTTAGCAATAACATTCCCTCAAGTATAGTAAACAAGTAACAGTAGTGTCTGAAAAACAAAAGGGCAGGGCCGGCCTAGTGGCTCAGTTGGTTAAGAGCTCGCTCAAGAGTGCGAGCTCTGAGCAACAGCAGTTTGATGCCCGGCCCGAGCTGAGTAGCCCCTGAGCTGCCAACAGGTGGCAGGATGGCTCAGCTTAAAAAAATTAAAAAAAAAATTAAAACATAAATAAAAAAGGAAAGGGCAATTTAGCTATTGATTTTGATGGCTAAAACTTCACTCCTGGGCTGGCCAAGTGGTTCAGTTGGTTAAGATTGCAAGCTCTGAGCAACAGGGTCACCAGTTTGATTTCCACATGGGCCAGTGACCTGCACCCGAGATGAGCTGCCGTTGAGCCACCAACAGCAGGATGGCTCAGCTGGTGAGAGCACGTGCTCCTAACAACAAGGTTTCCGGCTGGACTCCCACATGGGATGGTGAGCTATGCTCACCTGCAACTAAGATTGAACACGGTACCGTAAGCTGAACTGAGCTGCCGACAGGCGGCCGGATGGTGACTGGACTTGGGAGCTGAGCTAGTTGCACCCTCCACAACTAAGATGGAAGGACAACAACTTCGCTGTTCCCCTTCCCCAACTCCCCAATAAAATCTTAAAAAACAAAAAGAAAAAATCTTCACTCTTATTACTTACATAAAACTGCAGCGAAATTTAACATTGCACCAAACAAGCATTTTTCTGGAGCTACTGTACCAGTGTCACTGAAAGAAAAAAAAAGAAGGTATGTGCATTTCTGATACTAGATATACACGTGTTTCTTCTAAGGGATAAGAAATAATAGGGGTTACTTCAAATCCTTTCTTTTTTATATATCCATGAGTTCAACTCCTAATTTTATAATGGGACATTACACTGTGAGGCCACAATTATTTGCCTAGTTCACTGTTCTCTCATACCACTTAAGATTATTTCTTTTTCACATAATAGAAATCAATATAAATTGATTTTTAAAAAAAAGACTATTCTTGGCATGTTAAGGATGTGTTACTGACCTATATCAGTCAGCAGATGTGTTCATCTGTGTCTCCTGAACATTCCCTACACATCACAGGTTCTTTCACAACTGTCTTTTGTCATCTGTTGTTGACTCTGCCTACAATTTAATTAACACTGAATTATTTCCTGGTCAATTAAAAAAATATTTATCAAGCACCTACCACGTCCTAGACATGTTTAGGGACAGAAGATGGTGGTAAATAAACGAGACCAAGCCTTGCCCTCCTGGAGGTTCCCTTCAAAACCAGTTTTGAGCCCCCTCCTCTCGATGGCCTTGGCCAATCCTCTAGCAGAATGATGGCTCACACAGTATCCTGTCCAGACTTCTATTAAAACCACTCATCACACGGTACTGCAAGGTATCTGCTTACATGCAGTTCTTTGAGGACAGTGTGGAGTACACAGATCCAGATCAACGGCCCTTCATTTACCAACTGAAACCTTGGGTGTGTTCTTTTATCTCCTTAAAACTATTTCCATCTGCAAAATGGGGCCATTAATTCCTTCCCAGCATCTTCGGATCAATGGGAAGAAATGAAACTGTTGTAATGCATGTGAAATATCTAGCACAGTAGCAGGCACACAGGAGACCCCCATTAAATGTTAGCTCCTTTCCCTTCCTTCAAACTACTATAAAGACTTAAAAGACAAAAAAAAGTTTTTGACCTTGAATTGAAGCACTATAGGAAAGAGACAATAAGGATCTCAACTAAGCCACTGTAATGGGAATAAAAAAGAAAAGTAAAGGCATATCTGGTAAGGAATCAGTAAGATTTGGTGAACATTTAGATTAGGGTTAGGAAAGGTAAAGCATCAAATCTGAATTCTAAAGCCTGCTCCTTCTGACTCCAAAACGTATCTTCAGATACAAAAGACTTTGTTACTCTTTGGTTACCTTCAGGAAGTGAGGATTATGGTTTCTTGTTGCTGTTGTTTCGTCTACCTTTCAAGTTTTCAAGAATAATGTATAAGTATTATTCTCATAATCAGAAAAAACCCATAATTTTAACAGTTGTATTACAAATGATGCTTCTGTTTTGGATTACCCCAAAAGGAGACAAAAGCATGCATTTTCAAGGTGGCTGGCAAAGCAGGCTCCTTCCCTGGCTCTGGGACCCAACGACACAAACTGGCCCCCACGTGAGAACAGCCACACCCATACCCTCATCAGCGTAGCCTACCCTTCAACCCAGTGGTCATCACACTATTTTGATACCACATCATAAAAAAAAGTCTGATCATGTAACTTCAAAATGTATATATTTATTATATTATACATATATACTAAATATAAGTTTAGATATTTTGAGATTAATAAAATATACACAGAAGTTGTAATAATTTCTTCTCGTACCCCAGTGGTTAGTCTCATGCACCCTACTTGGGCACCAACTAAGAAAACACCTGAAGCCCACTTGCGTAGAATTGTCTTTGAAGTGAAATCTACTTTCAGTTGTGTCCTTTGGGGCTATAACAATTAAACCTTTTAGTTACAGTATGGACTGAAAGAAACTTCGCAGAGTAATATCTACTGTAGTTTAACTTAATCACTTTACAGATGAAGGAAATGAGCCTAAGAGGAGTCAAAAATAAGTATCATTGAGTTTAAATATATTAGAATGTTGGGGAACGATACTCGGGTAGTGATACTCAGTTCATCAGAAGAAAAATAAAAAGGTAGAAAGACAGGGACAGAAAAGGAAGTGTCTAGTGTACTATCGGTCAGAAAATCACATGCATTACCATCAGAGAACTGAAACTCTGAAAAAGAACTCAAATGGCCTCTTAAATTATTTAGGGCTCTTTAAAATGAAAGCAGACAAGTTCTCGAAGAGGAAATAAAAATGCTGAAGGACCCACATGAATCTGATAAATGTGTCTTCTCTTGGGGTTACGAAAGAGCAAACTGACTCCTTAAGCTACAGGTTCCTCTAAGAAAGTGGTAACCGGTGGTGATTATTTACCAAATTATTCCTAGAATTGGAACCTTAAATTCTAACATATCTTTGGCTTTTGGAAATCTTCCCCAAGTGCAACCAATTTGTTAATATCCTTTGTGTCACACCATGCCACTGTGGAAATAACAAGTGTAGATGGTAATGCCCTGATCTCTTTCTGACACTTTAAAAAATATAAATTTAGCCTTTTGAATGATCATCCTTTAAAAGTATACTATTTTCTGGTTAGAAAGGCTATTTCTCAGAAGGTAAACAAATAAATAAATGAAACAACTACAATAACAAGAAAAAACTCCAAACTCTGGAAATCTACCAAGTCATTAATCACCTCTGGGGGGTGAGAAGGAACTGGAGGGGGTTTCAGAAGAGATGTCCACTTTTTATTTTTATAATCACCCTAGTATTCTTTAAAATTTGTTATAATAAGCACATATTGTCTTTAGAGTTAGGAAAAAAGAGGGTTACAGACAGCACATGCAACTGAACACCCATCATTAGTAATTTTGAAATTTCAAAAATATTACCTATAAACTTTGATACTTCATGTGTCAGAAAGATCTACGCGACATGTCATAAAAGTCAGGGCACAGCTTCTAGAGTCAAATTGCCCAGTCAAATTGAATCTTGGTTCCATCATTTACTGAGTCGTGTGCCTTTGGACACATAATTTAATCTTCCTGGACCTCATTTTCTCCTTTCTCTAATGGGGTAGTAGTTCCAACCTCAAAGGGTGTTTGTAAGGATTCAATTATTTAAGACCTGAAGAATGCTTAGAACATCACCTGTACACAGTAAGTAGACCAACAAATGTTTGTCACTACCATTATCTTTCAATATTGTTTGCGGCATTTTTTTAATTTTAAGGAGAGAAAAATTCCAACTCTATCTTCTGAGAAAACCTCAAATACATATTTGGAAGACAAGGCACTGAAGAGTCACAATTCACTAAGCAATTCCCCAACTGAATCTTAGCCCTCTGTCTCCACATTTCTCTATCTCACAGGAAGAGCCAAATACAACTTCCTTGTTACTTTCCTTTTATCCTTGTAACGTCAAACATAAAATTTGATTTCTAAAACGTTAATACTAAACTTTGGCTTCAATGTGAAAATACGAATGAGACATAAACATTCTCCTATAAAATACATTTCACTGACCTGATATAAGGCAAAGCAGGGTCAACATGGTGGAGGGTTATGGCAGTAATGTATGAAAATATGAAAGCAGCGGCAGTCCAAATTACAAGGGCTGAAGGAAGGAAACTGAGGCCTTGCTGAAACCACCACATCTCAACCAGGTCTTCTGAAGGTGAACAAAAACAAATCAGAAGAGATTATTTGCAAGTATTTCATCTAGTCTACTTTAGCCATCTACTCCCCCAACCTTGGACTTATCACCCCGAGCTATTCCACTTCTGAAGTCATCCCCACACCATCTACTAACACCTGCCTTCCTTCCATATCTCAGTAAATGAAACCAAGATTCACCCACTTGCCATACCCAGAAGCCTTGTTTCTCCCCCATCTTTCCACACATAATCAAATACCAAGTACTGTTTATTCCACCTCCTAATTTCCTTCAAATCTACCTCTTCTCTCCCTCTTCACTGCCACTACCCTACCTAAACCACTGTCATTTCTTGGCCAGACTATTATTATAACCTACTATTAATAAAGGATCCTCCTCTAGTTTGGACCACAACCAATCTAGACTCCACCCTAAAACCTTCTAATTCTAAAATACCAATCTGACCACCTTATTCTCCCCAAAGAATTCTTCAGTGCCTCCCCTATGCCCTTATAAACAGTCTTTCCTCCTAAACATGGGTTATAAGGTCCTTGCATTGTCTGATCTCTACTCATTTTCTATATTCATCTCTAGATACTCCTTCGGCTCGGAATTCCTTGCTCTAGTTATCATCATCTTCATCATCATTACAAAAGCAAACACAGTGTTTACTCTGTGTCGGCAATGTTACTAAGCGCTTTAAATATATGATCACATTTATTCCTCACAACAGAATTACAGAGGTTAAGGGAATTGGGGGGGTAGGCAGGATTCAAACTCAGGTGGCTCCATTCTCACACCAACCACTATGCTATACTGCCATAGCCAACTTTTTCCAGGTCTTCAAAGGTGTCACTCTCTCGCATACCTTCAGACCTTCATGTACAGTGTTCTGTCCGGATGACGAGACTACAATGCTATTAGTCCTCCCCCCACTACCACCAGTTAACTCCTTCGCAAGTCCCACCTCTTCTAGCTTCAGTTGAAGTGTCCCTGCTTTGTCTCCAATAGCACCCTTTACTTCCTCACCAGGACACTCATCACACTTAACCGTTACTTGTTTGGCTTTATCTTCTTCACTAAACTTTACGTTCTGTGAGAGCAGGAACCAATTGTTTTTTTCACCATTATATTTCCAGCTCCTACATGAGGAAAAAACAGAGAAGGCCTAAATATATGCATACCACATATCACAATTTTTTAGCTTACATTTCAGACTGAGGATGTCAGTAAGAAATAATGAGTCAATAATGTGACTTAGAAAACAATGTGTCTTCATGCATTTAATTTTTTTTAAATATAGAAATACTTTTAAATTATAAGAAATTACTCCTATGCATGTGAAAATAATTTCATGCTGGGAGAAGTATCTTCTCAGTTAGACTGAAATTTAGTATTTCCCATGAACTTTGTAAAAACTTACAACTCTTTTCTCCAATGTGCTCAGCTTCCTCTTCTCAGACTGACCTTCCAAATAATAAAATCTCAGCCATTTTTGACTTGTACTTGTCATTTACTCTGATCATCTGACGTGTTGCTAAATATGTACATTCAAATCTTGTCAAGTAAGTTTCTTTTCCTTTGCCCCTACCACCACCATTACAGACTTGATTTGAGTAATTTCCTGTCTGAATTATCGTAATCTCCTCCTTCGTATTCTTTTTTCCTCATCAGTCCTTAACGTTCCAAAAGTTTTGTTCATCTATTTAGTTAATCGTGACAATTGCTAAATTCCTATAGTGGTTCCCCCAGCATTTATTTCTGGGACAATAATTATCAATTTCTATAAATTTTGAATTACAGCACTTCTAAAATCTTTTTCTCCTTTCATCTCTTTAAATTTTCATTTGTTTCTGATAATTCTAATCTAAAATCCTTGGAGAGTCTAGTTCCATGCGTGTTGGTTCTGCCAACCCTTGCACATGTGTTTTATGGTTTTTGACTATGAGCTCGTCTTTGGCTTATCTTAATTAGAAGTATCCTAAAAGGCTGAGATTAAAGATGAACCATTTCTGGGGGGTTTGTGTTCATTTTGGCCAGGTACTCTGACCCATTAGTAACCCGGGCCAACTGGAATTTCTTGGCTTTCAGGTTTTTTAGACCAGGTAGATATGCCAATTTGAACCCTGAATCTGAGTGGTGGCAGACCCTGCAGTTTTGGTTATTAGGTGGTACTTTTATTCCCCCACCTGGAGCTATTGTGAAATTGAACAAATTTTTTTGTGATCTCTCTTTGCCAGGAAGGAGATATTTTTCCTAGTCCATTTTTCACTGCTTTTGTATAGATTTTTGAGGGTTCTGGTTGAATTTGGGGGGAGGTGGTTATCCAAGGTTATACAATTCCAAGTGGAAATATTTACATTTATTTTTTATGTAAAAGTCATCCCCTGAAACACAGGTGCCATTTACACCAACTAACTACCATGTGAATGGTAATTCTTGGAGTTGTACACCCAGGAGGTCAAAGGGGTATGGTTTTATCTACCTTGAGTGGGGAGCAGGGAGAGCCTATCACCTGTCCCTAACTGTGCTTCTGCCAAGCAAGCAAAATTAGAATTTTAATGGTTAATTAATAATTTAATAAACCTTTCAAAATACTTGAAAATATGCAGGAATAACTTTCACAAGGCAGTAAGAGTGCTTCACAAAATGTTTGCATCTCTCACCTATCTTCTCTGGTTTCTTTGGTGATCCACGAATCAGAGCTGCAGTTACACTAAGTTTCACAAATATGTAAATACCACTGGTAATAAGATGAATTCCTTATGCTGTCTCCTCTAAGTGGTGACTGCTAAAAAACGATAAGAAAATTCTGGATATTCCCAGTGAAGAAAGCCCTAACCTTCTTTCAGAGGTACACAGAACCATCAGGCCTAAAGCAAAGCATAATAAAAAAATGGTTATTTTTTGTAAACTCTAACTTGACCTTCTGACAAACGTAATATTCTTGTAATGGTTAAGTTCTAAAGAGTCTAGAAGATTAAGTTTTTTAATAAGTTGGATCGAATATTACAGGGAATTTGGAGAAACTCTTACGATGCAAATTACAGAGCTACATTTACATACTGATCTAGAAATTAAAATTTGGGACAACTGGAAAACTCATTTCTGTGGTGGTTTTCAAATACATCCTAATGTAAAGCACGGTGTGGATTCACAGGGCTTGCCACTTACCTTTCAGTCCTAGGATCACCCCCTACTACCCCCGCGATAGAACTGCGCGTAGTAGACTTGAGTTTCTTATAAACACAAGGTCACCACAGATCTCAATTTCAAACCTCCTCCCCTCAACCTCCCCACCAAGGACATCTGAGCCCAGGAGTGACAACTGCAACGCGTACTCAACCGTAATTTTTGTGGGACTGGGGCAAAGGTTCTCGGTAAACCGCTGAAATCCCAGGGAATTGCATATTTTAGTCCGCCGCCTTCTTCCGGAGGCGCGAAGCTTTTGGACGAAGATCACCGCTCCGTTTCGCCTGGGGCCGGGAAAAGATGCGGGAGGCGGAGCTTGGCCCGGCGTGGGGCGGTGGGAACGGGGC